CACCCTTCGTTGGGATGAAGACTGTCGCCCCACTGCAAGGAGGAAAAGACCAAGGTGTGCAAAGAGGGTGGGGCCAGGAAGAGGGGCTGACCCTGTAAGAGGTAAGGGGCTGTGGAGGGCAGCCCCTGCTCCCAAGCTCAACCTTAGTCCCAGGTACTAGGTGAGGTGACCCACCTGTAAGGCCCGGCGCTGGGGAGAGGGGCGTTGCAGTAGGATGGCTGGTGGAGGTCAGCCAGGCAGCCACTGTCATTGCCCACCCGCAGCAAGGGGATGCTGCTGCTGCCACTCACTGGGTCCAGGCAAGGCAGCTGGACCGGAGACAGGGGCAGCGTCATATAGTGGCCATCAGTCAGCAGCCGGGGGAAGGTGGGGACCTCGGCCAGCATCTTTGGGTTCTGGAAGTCCCTGGACACTACAAGATGGAGGAATGGACGTATAGGGGTGTGAGAGGAGAGACAAGCCGTCTCATACTGGTCAGGGGCCTGTCTTCACTGGTTCTCCAGCCTACCTTGTCTGGGTCTTAGCCCCTGGCCCTCCATGCTACCCCCTCCCTCAGGGTTAAGAGGAACCATCCAGATTCAAACAGACTCTGTCACCCTCTAAGAGCCCCATCAGGGTGGAGCCCAGCCCCCAACAAGCTTGAACTCATCAGCCTCACCTCTGCACTCATCATGGCTCCTGCCTGGGACATGACTGCTGACCCTTGAAGGCCCAGCTCAGATGTACTCCCCAGAGAACGTTTCTCTCAGGCTCCCTCCCACCACCACAGCACAGTCACACACTTCAGGCAGGAGCTGTGTCTGAGCCACCTGCATTCACACAGCCCTGGCAGGCACCATGAGGGGTGCAGGGGCCTCCAGGCCCCCTGGGGCTCTCCTTGGCCTCCACCCCTCAGCCCCAACCCCAGAACTGCACTACGCACCATTGCTGAAGGCCACCACCAGCCAGAGGGTGTCGGTAGCGTTGGCAAGTCCATCAAGGATGCAGCGTGGCTGCTCCAGGGAGAACGTGGTGGCTGTAACTTTCCCTTCCAAGTCCCAGGCTGTTATCTGTGGCGTGTAGGGGATCAACTCTGTGGTCGTGGGGGACAAGGGGGACAAGTAGTGGCCACGGAAATAAGAGTGAAGGACTGTTGCCTCTGAGAGTTGCCTCCCCAACTGGGGGTGGGTGGGCTCCTAGGGTCTGAACACTCAGGCAGGTACCGCAGCCCTTGGGCCTGCTCAGGCCCACCCATTCCAGGACCCTACTCACCCAGGCTCCAGCTGGGCCTAAGCCAGCTCAGTGGCAGGAGCAGTAGCCACAGACGAAGCTGTCTCTGGGGTGTCCCCATGCCGGCCGGCCAGCATCCAGCTTTCTTGTACGTCCACAGCCTTGGAGGGGCCACGGTTCTCAGGGTCTAGGCCAGGCGGCTGCCTCCCTGCCACCCCACCCCCATCCCAGGAGAGCTGGTCAAGCAGGCTGCCAGGCTGGCCCTGGCTGGAAAGACTTGTAACTGCAAATGCCCCCCCGCCTCCCAACAGCCTGGCCCACCACAGGTAGCTGACCTCGCCAGGCCCCACCACCAGGGCTGACGGAGAGGGGCAACTGGACCCCCAGATGCCAGTCTGGCCACCCTAGCACCCTAGAGCCACTATCTGAACCTGTGCCCCACTAGGCCCCCAGCCCCGGGGAGGAGTGAGCCTCAGGGCTGCTGCGTGCCTAAGATTCCTAAGACCTGCTTTTCAGGAGCCGCCCCTAGTGAGGAGCTGGAAGCAGGGTGGCGCAGGGGTGGGGTGGGGAGGAGGGGTGTTGGGGGAGAGCGGAGAACAGAGGAGGGGAGCCCCAACCTGCCAGCTCCAGCCCCATCCCCAGGCCATGATGCCACTCCCCTGGGCTCCTCCAGTCCTTTGTCCAAAGAAGCTGAGTGCTTGATGTCTGACCAGCCCTGCACTTACATTCCTGCTCTTGGTTTTAAGATCAGCTTTACTGAGACATAATTCACATCTCGTAAAATAACGCTTTTCAAGTGAACAGTCCAGTGGTTTTTAGTATAAGGTTGCGCAAGCATCACTATATAATTCCAGAACATTCTTATCACTCCAAGAAACCCCACATTCACCCAACCTCTCCCAACCTCTGGCAACTGCCAACCTACTTTCCGTCTCTATGGCTTTTCCTATTCTGGGCATTTCACATGCAAGCAGTCCCCAGCTTACAAATGGGAATCCTGAGTATGTCTATGAGCGTCTTTGTCTATGAATCCTAAATGTGTCTATGTTGAATGTGTAGTGAAGTAGGGACAGGTGCATAGGGTTCTGCTGCAGTGCCTAAGGCATTGGACTGCTAACAAGAAGGTTGGCAGTTCAAACCACCAGCCACCACGCGGAAGGAAGATGGAGCAATCTACTTCTGTAAAGACTTACTGCCTCAAAGAAGAATGAAGAAAACTCAAATTCATGGAAACAATTAGTCCCAGCGACTGGTACACCATCTGATCTGCAGCCTATACGACTATGACCAGAACTAGATGGTGCCCGGCTACCACTGTCATCCACTTGGAAGGGGATCTATACAGGAGACCCTTGATAGAGAGGGAGAACAATGTGGAACAAAACTCAAAATCATTTGGAGGGGAAAAAAAAAGGGGGGGGGACCAGGTTTGCTGGTCCAATAGAGCCTGGTGGAACCACTGAGACTATGGCCCCTAGCTGCCCTTCAGGTCTGGAATTGAACCCACACCTGTGGTTTCCAGCCAAACAAAATACAGGCATATGATTTGAACATTTACCTCAAGTAGATACACTCCTTGGAGAGAACAATCATGGGAGAAAGAAGGGCTGCTTATGCACAGGGAGACAGCTCAGGGGGCAGGAGTGTATGGAGGGATGGACACTGGGAAGAAGGTAACTATGGGGAGGAGGTGGGAGGGGAGCTGTTGCATTGTGGTAAACTGTGGTCAATGTCATGAGACAAAGTATATGTGAACTGCTGTATGGGAAGTGAATTTGCTCTGTAAATCTTCACCCCAATCACAATTAAAAAAAAAAAAAATCATTGGGCAAATCTACTGCAAAAGACTTCTTTGAAGTTTTAAAAAGCAGTTTCCACTTTGAGGACTGAAGTGTGCCCGACTCAAAAAAAAAAAAAAAATTACTGCCTCAGAGAGCCAGTGGGGGTCGCTGTGCGTCGGAATCGACTTGATGGCAGTGAGTTTTAGTGCAAGACAACACACCCATGTGAGTCAGAGTAAGGAACTCTGATGGCACAGTGGCTAAGGCATTTGGCTGCTAACCAAAAGGTCGGCGGTTTGAATCCACCAGGCACTCCTTGGAAGAAAAATGAGGCAGTCTGCTTGCATTGATTTACGGCCTCGGCAACCCCATGGGGGTCGCTATGAGTCAGAATCAACTTGATGGCAGTGAGTTTGGTTTTTGGTGTAGAAAAGGCTTGAAGCTTTTTCAGTGATGGAAAAACCACAGATGCAGCAAGTGAAGTGACTGTGATGAGAGAATTTGTTGAGCAGGGATTGGTTCAATGGTTTCAAAGTGAAGGGAAATTAACATTAAAGGGCAAGTATGAGTTGACCCGAGTCAAATATTCATAACCCAGGGACCCACTTGTACATGGAATCACATAGTATGCAGCCTCAGGTGACTGCCTTCCGCACTTGCTTTGTTTTCAACGTTCATTCATGTTGTAGCATGTACCAGAACTTCATTGCACCACATCTTGTTTATTCATTGTTGATGGATTACACTCAATACAGGGATGTGTAATCTCATTTACCTATATGAATGGCTATTGTGAATAATGCTATGACCTCTTTAAAGATGTCACTTTGAGGACTAAGGCCTGCCAAAGTGGTGGTGTTTTCAATTGCCTCATATGTATGCAAAATCTGGACCATGAATAAGGAAGACCAAAGAATAACTGATGCCTTGGAATAATTGATGTCTTTGAATCATGGTGGTGAAGAATATTGACTGTATCGGGGCTGCCATAAGAACGAACATCTCTCTCTTGAAGACGGACAGGGAGAATGCTCCTTAGAAGGAAGACAGTTGAGACTTTGTCTTGTGGACCTTGGATATGTTACCAGAGGGACCTGTCCCTGGAGGAGGACATCATCTTGGTAGAGGGTCGATGCAAAAACACAAAGACCTTCTTGTAGCAAAGCACCAGTCTCGTGAATCAGAAGACACGCTACCACCTGGGCGGGCCCCACAGTTTGTCGCAAACTGGGAGGAGAGAGTGAGGTTGTATCGGGTAAAGAACGGACTGTGCTCACAGGCGCAAGCGGAAGAGTAACAAAGAGTCAGAGAGGTTACAATACAACCCTTCACATCATTTCCTAATATTCTGGGACATGGTGACCAAGGTGTTCTCCCACCAAGCCACGCACACACTCTCCCCAAACATCTTTTAATAAACGATCCTCACACAATCTAAAACCTTGACCCTTGCTCCTCTTGGGCTACAAACTTTTGACACAAAGCTGCATTGTCTCTTCAGAGCAGCAAAAGCAGAGATCTGACACCCCACTGCAGCTGGATTCAAAATGGGGTTTAACTTCGATCTGGAGCTGCCATTTTAGTCAAGCCAAGTGCCTTGGTTTTGAGGTTTGCTTACACAACTGTCAATGAGATGGACTAACACAGTGGCTACAATAATGGGCTTAAGCGTACGACGACTGAGGATGGCATAGGACCAGGCAGTGTTTTGTTCCATTGCACGTGGGGCACTGCAAGTTGGAACTGACTCTACGGCATGTGATGACAGTGGGTCTGAAGTGGCATCCCAGCGGGGTTTTGATTTGTATGCCCCTAATGGTGATGTTGGGAGCTCTGGTGGTGTAGTGCCCAAGGCACTTGACTGCTAACCAGAAGGCTGGCGGTTCAAACCCACCAGCCACTCCTTGGAAGGAAGGTTGGGTAATCTACTTCCATAGTGATACCGCCTCGGAAACCCAAGGAGGGGTCGCTGAGTCTGGTTTCTCAACGTGGATGTCAGCAGCGTCACACTCTCACTGCCCGCGTGTGAACCTTCTTCGGAGAAATGCCTGCTTCTGTCCTTAGCTCGGGTTTCCCCAGTTTTCATCTGTCTTGCTGAAGTTGCAAGTTCTATATTCCAGATATTAGACCCCTATCAGATACATAACTTGCAGGCTTTCCTCCCACCTAGAATGTTCCTGTATTTCAACGGGTCCCAGCCTTCAGGTTCCCCACCTCGACCCCTGTGCTCTGGGAGGGAAGTGTAAGTGTCTCAAATCCAGGAACAAACAGGTTTGGGGTCTGGATGAGCTGATGCTGGGGTTCTCCATCAAGCCTCCCCTGCCCTTTACCCCAGGACCACTTTACCCACGAGGCCACAATGTCTAAGGCCCACCATACTTTTAGAGCCCATGAAAATGTTTTAAAATCAGAAGGAAAAGGAACGAAGTTCTAGGTAGAATGAATGTCCCACCCAATATTCTAATATGTATTAATCTTTATACCAACACCTTATCAATTAGTATTTACTTATTTTTAAATAGAGAAGACAGCTCACCAAGGCAAAGGTCCCTGCAGCCCATGACAGTCCTAGTGTGGCCGTTAGCCCCTGCGGCCCCAGGTACAAGCCCTTCTCAGGCACAGCACGCTCTTGGTCTCACCCCCTTGGTGACTGGAATATTGGTGACCAGTGCTCCTTTTAAGAGGGCCCGGCAGAATGAGAACTTTGGGGATAGTGCCAGATTGATCCTGGCCCAGACTCCAGTGCTGGTCCTACCACCTCTTTGACCCCGGACACGATCATGGTTCTTCACTCTCGTCTTCCTTCTGCGTAAAATGGAGACAGCAACCCCTGGCCTGTGTCAGCATCACTTGTCAACCAGAGCTGGAGGCTGCTCGGGATGGAGGATGGGGCAGAGATGCTGGGGGGGCCCTGGAGCGAGAATGAGACAGTGGGGGCTACCAGGGAAAAGAGTCGATAGGTTAGTGTCAGGGCGGTCCCTCACCCCGGCCTCAGCTTCTCCATTTATCAAACGCACAGGTGACCGGGCAGCCTGAGGGACCCTTCCTGCTCCGATGCTGTCCGCAGTGAGGGCAAGTGCCCCAGGGCAGATGTGTGCTGGGCTCCCTGCCTGAGGTACCATCTCACAGACACACACGCACAGTCCAGGGCCTGCTGGCTTTGGCTTATCAGGCCTTTATTGCGAAGAGAAAACAGCGCGGGGGGAGCAGCTGACCCAGAACCCGTGCCTGCTCCTGGCTGGGGACGGGTGACCTCTGTTCACCCCCGGCCAGGCTCAGAGTGCTGTGGGCCCACAGGGGTCCCCTGCCCTGAGGTAGCTGCGTCTTACACCACCCTCTTCAAGTACAATTCCTCAGGGCTGCCCAATTCCCACACAGATCTGTGCCTGGAGGGAGCTAGGCAGACAGGTGCAGCCTGGCACGGGGGAGCACGCCCAGTGCCTGAACAAATGCCTTAGCCTCTGGGAAAGGCACCTTTCCTGCCTGCCCGTCCCAGCCAGCGACAGGGCAATGGGCAACCGCTAGAGGAGGCACGGCAAGGCGGAGTGGGGCTGGCCAGGCCGGAGGGTCACTGAGACTCCAGACAGTCCTCTGTCACGCCCTGGGCCGCCAGCTCAGCCAGAACATTCTGCAGGTAGTTAGGGTCAGGGTAGCCGTGGCCCGTCACGTTGCGGTCCATCTCTGTCTTGTGGTGGATCTCATTCCATACCACTGTGTCGGTCTCGCCTGTGGTGCTAGATGTCCCGACTGTGAAGATAAGTCGCCTCTTCCAGGCCACCTTCAGGAGCTCCAGGACCTGCCCACAGGGGAGGGGAGGGGAGGGGACGGAAGGGGAG